CCCCGGTCCTCGACGCCATTGATTCTAGCATGGGCAGCACTACTGAAGGAAGGAGTGGCTAAAGGATGGCTGGCAAGGTAAGTATAGGTGGGTCGGAAGGGTCCCTTTGCAGACTGTCATTGTGCCCTGCACGGGAAAGTATGACAGTATCTCTTTAAAATAAAAGCTGCCTGTTTTGAAAAGGTAATGTCAGGACTCCGGATTGTGACTGATCAGTCCTAGGTTTCCTTATTGCTGAACGGGAGATGTTTAGTCTAATTGTCACCCCGAGGTATAGGATCTTGGCTGGATCATATATCATTATTGCCCAGAACCTCTCAGTTAAGCACGTACACAGCACAGATGGAATTGTCTACAAGTCACATGGGGTTAGTGTAGGTAAAGGAAGAGGCCTCCGGCAGTACAGAAGAGGAGAAAAAGGGAAAACATATTTTATACTAATTGATCAACTTTAAATTCCGTTGCCAAAGTATCTCAAAATAAAGGTGAAACCTTGTCATGACATCATACTTTGTTGTTCTGTAATATTTGCTAAGGAATCTTACACGGAAAGACTGAAGGGATTTTAATTAAGTGCAATCCTTTCTCCAGCTTATACATGACAGGAATCTCATTGAAGTGTTTAAAGGAGAACTATGAGGTGAGTGATTTCCACTCATCCTCATAGTTAGAGCCAACGTGTGACAAAGAAGCTGTCACAGGTCGGCTCTATTGATCAGGAAGTGAGCAGAAACCGATCTGCTCACTTCCCCGATCGTCTCCCTGCAGTGAGCGGTGACTGGGGAGGGGCGGGCACAGCTGGCTCTGCCTCTAGATAGGCAGAGCTCGCTGTCACTCACACAGCTGGGTGGATCTTGACAGTATTGTCTGGATCAGTCCTGGCTGTGGCGCTCTCAGTATATCGCAGGCAATAGCTTGCAAGCAGTAGATACATGCTAAAAAACCCCAAGGGTTTTATTATGCATTGAAGGACAAGTTCGCTTTTAGTTTAAGATCACTCTTTACCTTCCTCCATGTTCCAGTGTTTTTTCACTGTGTGGTTCTACCCAGCACTGCACAACCTTTCTTCCAAAAACACTTCCGCCAGCGCCTGTTCTATGTGTGCCAAAGCCCCATTCATTCTTACAGATGAGCTGTATGCCAACTGTTCTGCATTTCATATCACTGGAATGGGGAGGAAGGTAAGCAATTAACACTTTTGTCACGGCAGGGGCGTGCAGAGATTTATTAAAGGGCATGTTCAAAAAAATGAGCAGTACTCAGTGGCACAAGTAGCCAATAAAGGAAATATACTCAGTGGCACAAGTAGCCAATAAAGGAAATAATAAGACAAAATATCATCCAATGTGTATAAAGCTGTTTAAGGAGAATGTACTGTGTTTCCTCTTTCGAAGAATACACAAAAAATAAAAATTTTCCCTTTTATGTTGTGAAAAACTTTAACTTCTATGTTATGTTTTTTTTCAGTTTTGTAAAAACAACATGGAGTCCAGTGAATGGCCTTTTCTTCCCATCCTGATAGTTTCTGCAGACATTCCATCGGCCTCTGTATGTTCGGAGAGAATTAGGATCAAACCACATGAACATTTTCATAGTGTTTCCTCCTGTCACTGTGCTGCTACTGGTTAAATTGTAAGTCGCGAAGTCAGCACTTTGTGTCTGTAAAGCAGTCTGTTTCCATTGCAGAGTCATAATGAGTTTTTCAGACATCCATTTAGGAAAGGGCCTCACATAATTATATTTACGGCAGAATTTAAAAACCACGCGTATTTGCCTGTTCACAATGGAATAACAGCATTCAGCCGGGTAAACCTTACATAATTATCCGTAACAGCTACTACATAAAACCAGGGGCTTATTTACCGCGAAGCAAACTAGGCGTTTGCCTAGGGCGGCACCCTCCGTCGGGGCGGCTGCTCCGCTGGTGCCGCGGTACGCAAACGCCTAGCAATGAGGTCAATGCACCGCCACGCCCCCTCCTGCCCCACAACAAAGTGAGCTGACTGCAATACAATCCGGAATGCACTGTGTCTGCTGTGAACGGACCCTCAGTAACATTGAGGTCAGTGCACCGCTACGCCCCACGACAAAGTGAGCCGCCCGCAATACGATCCAGTGCGTTCCAGTCGGAATCGGGCCGGAAAGCACTGTGTCTGGTGTGAACGGGCCCTCAAGCTCACCATACACCAGTAAAATTTTGTTCAAAAAAATTTGTTTTGGGAATGTTCATTCGATTTTTTTAATAGTTAATGGGGTGAAATTATTGACTGACTTCAACCATAATGATGAAAAAAATTGAAGGATCAAGATGGAACGAATGAAATCCTAACAGAGAATGTGGTGTTCGTTTGGGGAACTCCATTCATTCCAAAATACAT